ACAATATACTACAACTGTCGCTTTATTAGAACATGAGCATACAATAGGGCGATCTTCAACACCATTCACAAGAGTGTAGAGGGTTAATTTGGGAATTCAAACTATTCTATTTATGTTGCAAACCATCCCACTTCTGATACGATTTGTACTACCCTTACACCCTTATACTAGTTATTTTTGGCATCTAATTCAGTTTTAAACAACAACAGGTTTGCAGTTCTCTTTAGTCCAGTTTCATATCCAAGAATGATAATCGTTCTATTCACGAGTAATAATGTGGAATGCTAGTATGAAATTGGAAATATAAGGTCAATTATATCTGACTAACATGCATCCAAGCAACAGTTTAATTTGGTTTGCCATTTCGTCCAAAGTATAGTAACTAACCATAACTATCAGTTCAATTTGGTTTGCCATTTCGTCCAAAGTATAGTAACTAACCATAACTAATTCCGTAAGTGCCACGCATGAACACACAACTGCTTATAGACAAGATTCATAAAAAGTCCCACCAACGATGATATGAAATTACATACAATAGTTAGAGTTACACCAGCTGAATTGTGACTCGGGTTGCAAAAGTTATCAGCCTTATAACAACACATTTATTACTTTGTATGAAATCTCTTCAAATAGGGTTAACAAAGATAACAACGGATGATAAGCATTCTACTAGCAAACCACATATGACAAACTCTACCAAAATGGTTCTCATCTCTAAAGCACCGGTCAGTTGTGTTTGTATAGAATACATATGCAATACCGATATGTGTGGATGGATACAGGATCCATACTGGATATCTTTTAGAAATCGAGTGCACATCCTATTCTAAAACAGTGCATATGTTTGCTGGATATGTCCTGAGTGTGCTTTGGGTACTGATTGGGTACAATATCTAGTTTACGGATCAGATTCTTAATCTGTCAAGTCGTAATATCCTATTTGAAGACAGTACATAAATGGGTTGTACGTACATATTTTTGAGTGTGCTTTGGCGTGGTTTGGGTGCATTATTGATTCACACGTCAGATTCTTAACACAGTTAAGTTATAATATTTTAAAACAACTTAAGTTACAACAATTGTTTTCATAATTTTCCAAGTTAAGGAAACTGTTATTTAATTATCATAACAATGACAAATCCATATGTGCTTGTTTGAGATTTTACATAGGTGGAATTTAGGTTCGCATACACTTTAAAATGGTTAACTTAATTGAATATATATGTAAGTATGTATTACTTCTCAATCATTCTTCATTCATCTCATTTAATAGAATTGTTCCTTCTTTTGCCATCTAGTTAAAACCTAAAGATGAATTGACTACAAACTGAAGACTATTCATCATCGTTCAAGGCCCTTATCACCCAAGAGCAATGCTTAAACTGAGAAATGATCAAATCAAATATAGGATTTCTCTTCCAACAACAAAAAATTACCTATACCAGCCATTTTGGATCCCTACATTGATTTTAGGAAGCACTATGCATAAAAACATTCCAAAACAAGAAAAAAAAAAGATGAGTTTGACTGAATCGTCTTAGATAAAGAAATTAAATATATGCCTATTAGTCTATATATTGAAATTAATCTTATCCGCTATTTAACATTAGAGGGCATGAATGTATATGGCCTCTTGCATGCTAGCAACAATTGAGAGAAAAACTTACAGCATAAAGAAACAAAAGAGCCCAGTAATTAAGCTTATCACGTGCATTACAGACATCGCAGAGAGGAATGAGTGAATCCCATGAACTTAAGATCAACCACACTATAAGTAATAACTACAGAAGACGCCTATAAACCCAAAAATTGCATGGAAAAAAAAATCCAAAGAGGCTACATAATTTACAAAAAAACTTACCATAATTTGCAAACGTTATACATCTGTCCAAAAACTATATGCTCTTTAATCAGCCAATTTACTATTCTGTTAATAAATGGTAGTTTTTAAATTTCAAAAATTTATGTCAACTTAATACAATTTAATACAACAAACATACAGTTCCATCAGTACGAGCGCCCAAGTTATGTAATTTGGACTTAAGAGGTCAAGAGATAAACAATAATGCATCAGAAATCAATGATTATATCCTACAAAAAAAAGAGAACTTGCCACAAAAAATGCAAAATTTAAGGTTTCCGTTAAAACTAGATCTACAACAATAAAGGCACACGAACTACACATGAAATCTTCAGTTGGCGCTCAATCAAACCCTAAAAAATGCTTAAAACTAGAAGGAAACCAAAGTGTGCAAAAGACACGCATCAAGATTGAAACCCTAACATAAGCAAGATTTAAAATTTAATAGAATCTAAAAAAAGGCCAACCCTAAGTCCGAACAGCAAATTCGGAGATCAAGAACAAACCCTAGAAAGATCGGGGAGGCAAGAAACCAACCGCAGCCAACGAAGAAAACCTAGAAAAAAAAATTCGACCTAAAATTGACAGGAGGAGGAGAAGAAAGAGGGAGAGGGGGCGGAATCGCACCTTTGAAGCGAAAGAGAGAGATTGGGGCCTCGTTCGATGAAGGGCGAGCCAGTGTCGATCGAAGAGAGAGAAAGTGTGTTGAGGGCAATTTATATGGACAGCCGCAGGTGGATAGCTGATATTCCTATCCGAATCCGACCCGGAGACCGGAGTGGCGTTAATTCAGGAGAAAGGTCGCGCATAGAGTCATAGACCCTACTTTTTGTTTGATGTGGATCATGTCCACTACGAAATAATAGAACCTAGATTACCACTTTTAATAGAAACCAGTTGAGATGATGCACGTGATTGAATATCATGATTATTTAAATTGATAAAAAAAGTAAAAAAAAAAGTTTTTCTTGGGATTAATCATCAACTCAATAATCTCTCTCTCAAATAAAATATTGTCATTATTTCCTTCAACCCAGACTGTGGCTACGTGATCTACTATTTGTGAGTTATAAACAAATTAATCTAGTACAACATCTCTATTTATTAGTATCTTGAAGTCTTCAAAAGATGAGTGATCATTCAATTCACAAAGGAATTTTGTATATGAATTTACTTGCAATATGTCCGTTAAACTTTTAGTTATGGTTTGACTCATATTCACGTTAACTTTTAGTTATGATTTTACTCATATTTATATTATAAAACATTCTCATTCAATTTTATAGCTCATTTTATGTACCATAGAAGTAAATCTGAAAGTATAAAGAAATATTTTCTTACGAAATTAGAGCAGGAAAATTATGATATATTTCGCCATGAGCTCTAAATATAAAAAAATTCTTTAATGCAATGTCCCTATCAAATCTTACCCCAAACGATGTGAATAAAAAATGCTATTATAATTCATTTGCCTAGGGCAATTATATTGTATATAAGACATATAACTCATATGAAATATTCACAGCTGCTAAGTGGATTTTGCTGTTGTGAGAACAACATGTTAGAGGCTCGTATTTAAACTTTTTGGCTCTATAAAGACCCAAGAATTTGGAGTGTATAGCTTATATATTGTAAATAACATATTGGTTCATGAAGAATTTTCCCTGATAAGGATATTATTATAACGATATTATTATTCAGTACTGAATCAATTTTATTATATAAGATTATATGACCCTTTTTAATAAATTATAAAGTATATATATGGAAACCTCAATGCTTATAGCCAGTAGGTGGTCTCCACAAAATAGGTTAACTTTACATTGTAGTTTGCTATTTGTAGTACTGTTGGCAATATCATTATCCTTCCTCTTTATCTTATTATTCACGCTTTTCTGATGTAAGTTCTTTTTTACTAATCACTCAATTGACTATATTTAGTTTTTATAATATCAAATGTTAGAATATTTTTTTCTATTTTAAAAATGTTGACATTATTTTCTTAAAAAAATATATACACATAGTAGTAATAGTATATACTTCAGTTTAACTCAAACATTAGCTTGAAACCATTTAGAGTGAGATTTTTTCTGTGCTAGAATGATGATATAGTGATTACACGATCCAAAAGTCAAAGAAGAAATTTCTTCAAAGAAAAAGTAATTTAATATGTCAAATTAACAACTAATTTATAAAATATACATGGGTAGTTGAAATAGTTATAGAAAGTAAGGTGTATATCTTCATGAAAATTTTATAGCGAGTGACCAACTACAATCATCCTAATTTAAGCATAAATAATTATTATTTTAGTTACTAATTTGATACTCGTAACTATAGAATAAATCTCAAGCAAAAAAATAGGAATTGAGATTGGATTATCCTGTAGGTAAATAAATAAATATTATTAGAGCTCCTCTTTATATTAAATTTAAAAGTAATAATTTAAATTATTAAGCGCCAAATATTAGTTCATGTGAGAAAGTAAAGTAATTTATGATCAATATACATATATAGTCAATCAATCAAACATATTAAAATTATGATGACCACAGTCAAACTCAGTTGGGGTCACATTAAATATAATTTATAAAAAATTGTACATTAAAGTCAAAATCTTTTTAACCACTATATAGATTGTTTGAAAATTTTTACAAATATAAATTATACTGCCTAGGAATAGTGATGTGTGTTCGCGGAAAAAATCGTGTCTTTCTTCATTGATTCCATTGCACTCTTAAATAACAACTTTTTGAGTTACAAAGATCCGGTCTTTTTATAAGATCCGGTTACAATGAAAATCAAAGAAAATAAAAGAAAGATTATAACTTTTTATCCTTATTTGTCGAACGAATCGCGAGCTCCTGTTTTGCGGTCACTCGCTTTGTGGGTTTTTTGCCTGCGCCGGGGTTTATCCGTGGACCACCACGAGATTTAGATCCGGTCGGATCTAGGCAGTACGACGGATATTATTTCACCAAGGAAATAATAGCCGGGGGGATTGATTCACCAAGGAAACAATCGCCCAAATCTCGGGATCAAAGGCCAAGCTTTGATCCGGAGTACGCCTGCGTAGATCTGAGATCCGGTCCTCTCGAACTCTTGCCTTATTTGGCGTTAACGATCGCCGAGCACCAGATCTGGATGAGCAAGTCCTCGAAGTCCTAAAGTTTGAATCTTTTTTAGATCTGAGTCTTCAATCCAGCAGGGCTTCGCCTCCAAAAAATCCAACCCTTGAACAAATGAACCAAGCCCCCTATTTATAGGCGATCTGATTTGGCATTAAATCTGATTCCTGTTTTGGCAGTAAATCCACTTCTGAGTTCGAGTCCGAAACCGATCTTGATTCGGTCGTGATTCGTCCGAGTCCACTCTTGTTTGGATGACTCGTTGACTCCCCGAACCGTTGGCTTGATTCCGTACGCGAATGGATGCATTCCGTTGCTCGCGTGCGATTCGTTGACCTCGTCGCCTCGTCACTCGATGGTTTGTCGAATCACCGCGCCGAGCTATGCCAAGGGACTTATAAGCAATTTTACATGCCTACAGATACCCCCTCCAAAGTATTTCAGCCTCGTTCTTTTATAGAAGAGTCTAGAATACTTTGGATATGATTGTCCCAACCTTCAGTCGGTGTAACAGGACCTTGGAATGGCTTCTGTTCTTGATTCCTTCAATCCTTCAGGCTATTCGGTGCTTTGTCGAATATCTGAAAGGGTTTCGGTGCTGCATTTATTGTCTAACCGTTATCGAAATTTTGAATTTGAAGTCGGTTCCTAATTTTCTGATCTTTAGCTGACCATCGATTGTTGGCGTTGAGTCTTTATTTGCGACGCGTTGTCCGGCGTGGTGTTGTTGAGTTATCCTTAAGAATATTTATAAAAATATTCTCCAGGAACTTCTCATCCAAAAATAGGGAATAGTTTTCGGAGTATTGATTCTGTTCTTGATTCCTTCAATCCTTCAGGCTATTCGGTGCTTTGTCGTATACTTTTCGGAGTATTGATTCTTTCGTTGCAACGCATTGATCGGCGTTGACCTAGGGTTACGCGTTGACCAGCGTTGACCCTAGGGTTTCGAACATCGTACGTTGACTTTTTGATCGCAACGCGTTGACTGGCGTTGACCTAGAGTTACGCGTTGACCGGCGTCCACACTGCTTTATCTGGTGAGTTGACATCCCTGAAGCAGAAGCTGGTCGAGACGGAGGAGGTTGCTGCGAGGACTTTATCTACCAACGAGGAGTCCATCAGAGCTGAGCTGAGGCAAGCTTATGATGAGAAGCTGTCTAAGCTTAATCAGCAGATTTTTGGCCATGTTCTTGATGTATGATTTTATTTGCTGAATACTCTGACTTTTGATTTTCTTAGTGGAACTGGTTTTCATCTTTATCTTTATTATGATTCGTCATTCCGTTTGAAATGATTGACCATAATACTTTTAGGATTTTTGGCAAACCCTCAGCCTTCAACGGATTTGATTAGCTTTTACCGACTACCGTTTGAGTCGGGCTAGCATGCGGATTGTCTAAACCCGTTCCGCATGTAACGTTGTGCTAAGAGAATGAATTCTCTGAGACTTTGTGCTATGATGTCGAATACATAGATTTCGCCATTGTTACGGGAATAAGCTTCCCGGCGACACGTGTTAGGTGTTGACTTTAGGATTTTTGGTTAACCCCCAGCCTTTAACGGGTTTGATTAGCCTTTACCGACTACTGTTTGAGTCGGGCTAGCATGAGGATTATCTAAATCCGTTCCGCATGTGACGTTGTGCTAAAGGAATGAACTCCCTTAGACTTGATGCTATAACTTCGAATATGTAGACTTCGCCATTGTTATGGGAATAGGCTACCCAGCAACGTGTTTTAGACGCTGACTTATCCCTACTTAGGCTTCGGGATAAAATTCCCCAGAATCGAACTCTGGTGACTTTTTCTTCAGAGAAAGACTAAACCGGCGACGCGTGTTAGGCGTCGGCATATCCTTTCTTAGGATTCAGGATGAAATTCCCCATGCGTGTAAGGCATGGATTCTGGTGTTATTAATAACAACCTGTCACAATGTTGAATATGTGAACGGGTGTTCTTTTTAACGGTTAAGAACTAACCGGCGGCGCGGGTTAAGCGCAGACTTATCCTTGCTTAGGTTTCAGGATAGAATACCCCAGAATCGAACTCTGGTGTCTTTTTCTACGGAAAAAGACTAAACCGGCAGCGCGTGTTAGGCGCAGACTTATCCCTGCTTAGGATTCGGGATAAACTTCCCTATGCGTGTAAGGCATGGATTCTTGTGTTATTAATAACAACCTGTCACAATGTTGAATATGTGAACGGGTGTTCTTTTTAACGGTTAAGAACTAACCGGCGGCGCGGGTTAAGCACAGACTTATCCTTGCTTAGGTTTCAGGATAGAATACCCCAGAATCGAACTCTGGTGTCTTTTTCTACGGAAAAAGACTAAACCGGCAGCGCGTGTTAGGCGCAGACTTATCCCTGCTTAGGATTCGGGATAAACTTCCTAGGATGAATCCTAAATTGACAAAATTTGGAAAGATCGGTGCGGGAAAGAAAGAATTTTATATTCTATTTCCCGGTCTTCTTTTAGGGTGAAGGCGAACCCGAAAACAAGAAAGGAAGAATTTTATATTCTATTCCTTGATTCTGGAAAGGAAGAATTTTATATTCTATTTCCAGCGAAGAAGAAACTAGAAGTGGGGTGTCCACTCCGAGAATCTGGAAA